CGAGGCTGCGGTGGCCGGGAGCAGCCACTGCACTCCAGTCTGGGCGACAGAGTGAGACTCCAACTCAAAAAAAAAAAAAGAAGAACATGCTGGGTACCAGACATGGCCGAGAACACAGAGCAGTGAGGAGTAGAGTTTGTATTCTCATGTGTGTATGTGGTTGGTTGGTGGAGGGAACCATTAACCAAAGAAATACTTAACATTTCAGGTAGCAATAAAATGCTGAAGAAAAATAGGGTGGGAGGCCATATAGCTTGATTAAAAGAAAAGGGTTTTTTTAACCCCTGAATATAAGTATTACTACCTCTCTGCTTTTGGAGGATCTACAAAATTTTTTAAAATTCCATTATTCTGGTATAAGAATTGCCGGAAGAGATACGAGTACAATTAAACCATTGCTGGTTTCATTTAAACCATGAAAGATAGAAAAAAGCATTGTTTTTCCTTACAGAGAGGATAGTGAGCTAGCACAGAGTGAGTGGTTTATGAGCATAGGATTTTTTTCTAATTAGTTTTGCTTAGTACTTACTAGATTGAGATATGATTGTTCTGAGAAACAGGGTTCACTTTGTGACCCTTTCTGACTGGCAGAGAAGGCTTTCTGCCCCACTGCTTGTCCCCACCCTTTCCTGTCTGGCCAGGCTCATCCTCCTATGTCCAGAAAGTGAGCTCTAAGACATCCCTGGAATGTAATAAGCTCACATAGCTATCACTTGCTTTCCAGATGTTTTGGTTTGTTGGTATTTGTAGTAAGTTCCCAAGTAGTGGTTATGACCCTAGAGTTTAGTGGTGTCTAATCTTATTTTCCACATTTATACAGTTCTTGGACTTTTGGTGGACCTAGCAGTCTCTCTCTCTTGAGTTTGCTTGTTCCTTGGTGTCCAAATGAGGGCATGGGGGAGCTCACTGGGGAGGAAAGGGTGGAACATTCTCCATCCAATGTGAAACAGGACAGGGAACTGGTTCCTGTTGAGAACTGGCTGGCTCCTGTCCCTTTAAGAGGGAGCTGAGATCATGTGTGGTGGCTCCTGCCTGTAATCCCAGCACTTTGGGAGGCTGAGGCTGGAGGATCACTTGAGCCCAGGAGTTCAAGACCAGCTTGGGCAACATAGCAAGACCTCCTCTCAAGAAAAAAATAGAAAACTCAGTCGGATGTGGTGGTGCACACCTGTAATCCTAACTACTCAGAAGGCTGAGCCCAGAAGGTACAGCTGTGCTAAACCATGGTCATGGCGCTGTACTCCAGCCTACGTGATACCCCACCCCCCCCCCAAAAGATAGGGACATCACTAAAGCCGTCTTCTGAGCCCCTCCTGTGGTTGTGGTCAGTTGCTTCCTAGGAGCCGAGTCCTTGCTGTGCGCACGTCCCACTGTGGCTCTAGGGCAGTGGTTCCCAACCTTTTTGGCATCAGGGACCAGCTTCGTGGAAGACAATAGTCACACGGGGACGGAGGGGCGGGGATCACCAGGCACTGGGTTCTCGTAAGGGGCGCGCAACCTAGATCCCGCGCAGGCGCAGTTCACAATCTGGTGTGCGCTCCCGTGAGAATCCAAAACCCCCGCTGATTTGACAGCAGGTGGGGCTCCGCTCTCCCGCCCTCCCTTTTTGCGGTGCCGTCTGGTTCTCAGCAGGCCGTGGACTGGCACCCGTGCGCAGCCCCGAGGTTGGGGACCCCCCTCTCTAGAGTATTTATAAAGCCGTCCCTAGGGCAGGATACATCGAGGCTGAGCTGCCAGGATCCCCCCGCCCTGCCACAGGGACGGGATCTGTAGTGATGTGTGTGGCCTTAGTGTGTCCACTTTCCACAATACTTTCCCAATAACCTCCCCGACACACAAATACGAGGGGGACCCGCCCAAAAAACCGGAATTTATTTATTAAAAGTTGTGTATTTATTCTTAAGTGTTTCAACTTCAGTCTCCTTCAAAGTACTCTCTGTTTGATGCAATACACCTGTCAAGATGCTTTTGCCACTGCTCAAAGCCGTTTTTGAACTCGTCAATTTTGATGCCCTTGAGAGCTTCTGCCATTTTTTGCTTCCGCTCTTCCACATCGGCAAAACGTCTCGCTTTGAGTCCTCTTTTCATCCGAGGAAACAAAAGGTCGCTCGGGGCGAGATTGGGTGAATAGGGAGGGTGGGACAGGGCATCATGCTATTGGGGGTCAAAAACTCAGCTCATCGTGGGCAGGTGAGCTTGTGAATCACCCATCATGAAATGAGCAAATGTGTGGAAAGAATCGCCAAAAAGTTTACTGAAACCAAACACAGTCTTTCACAACAACCCTAGATAGTACACTGATGCTGATGGGTTCCTGAAACACTTCCTGGCAGGGGAAGCCTGTACTACAAGGGGCCTGCCCTACTAAAGATAATTCCAGGATTTGGGGGGGATCTCTCCTCATATGCTGCCCTGATGGGGGTACGTTTGTGCTGTGAGTTCCAGTGTAACCAGGAATGTGTCTAAAGGTCTACAATGAGCATGTCGATAACCAGGCTAACCATGGATCATGCAAAATACATGGGTTTTTTTGCTTTGTTTCATTTTTTTGAGTT